TTGTTGTTGTTGCATTGCCAGCGATTTTTGCATGTAAAAACAAATTGTTTTACAATATTTTTGCTTGCTAGAATATTAATTCAATATAATTTTTTTTCTTAAATATATTTTTGTTAAGATTTGTATCTGGAAAAAATTCAATATTCAAAAAAAAATTTTTATAAATTTTTTATTTTTTATCGCACAAAACAAATTCAGATTAATAATATCTGCAGCAGTTTTTTTATTCAATATAATTTTTACTATTTGATATTGTTTTTAAATTATTTTCTTATCATTTCCATCTCAGCCATTAGTTCGTGAAATTTTTTATATATTTATTATTAAATTTTGTATTATTATAATTAAGAAGATTTTTTATTTCTAATTTTATTATTTATTTTTTAATTTTTTACTTCTAATTTTATTTTAATTCTAATTTTATAATTATTATTATTAATTTTTTTTTCTAATTTTTTTATTATTATTTTTTAATATTTTAACAATCAATTTTATAAATTTAAAATTCATAAAAAAAAATATTTAAAAAACTTCAAAATTTTTATGTTTATTTTATTGTAAAAAAGTTTCCAACATTGTCAATAATAATTTTCCAGTTCTTTCTACTTAAATATAACTTTGAATTCTTCTTTAAATTTTGTAAAGTATATTATATGCTTGGCATTTTCATATCAGTCACTATTTCTTAATGTTTTTTTATTATTATTTTAAAAAATGTTGTATTATTTTTCTTAATTTTTGAGTTTCTAATTTTTATTATTATTTAAAAAAATTTTGTATTAATTTTTATTTTTAAATTTTTTTGTTTTTTAATTTTTTTTCTAATTTTTTATTATTTTGTTTTGATTTTTATTTAATAAATATTTTTAATTTTTCCGCAAAAAAATTTTCATTACGAAAATAATTTTCCGTTTTTCATTGCCGGCTGTATTGACATAAAACATTTGTCAGTTAGGCAGTAAATCACGCTAACAAAATCAACAAACTTATTATCTGTCCGTCCATCTAACCGTTATTGCAAGTCACTCGGTGTCAACTTCTTGTTGCACGCTTACCGATCGTTTGTTTGCTGAAGCTTGCTCACAAAAATGGCAATATTTTGCATGTCATGCAACTGGCAGCAAGCAAACGCAGTTCAAATAACACCAAAAGCAACAACAATTTACCAATCTACCAACAGAGCTCAGTTGACATCTCAATTTTCAGTTAATGATATTTCATTATTTCACAAAATATACAATAACAACAACAACAAAATTTCAATAGAAATTGTTGCATCAAAAATAGCATTCAATTACAGCGCCAGCACACGCACACAATCACAAAATTTCACATATAATGATATGATTGGCCCCAGGCTGCTAACTGCTAGCGTTCTAAGGTTGCATGCAACATGAGTTGGGAAGCGTGCAAATTCTAAGATTCGGTTTTTGTGACAGCCTGCCGTTGTGTTGATAATCAATTTTATTTCTTCAGCAAACAATGGCTACATATATACATACATACATATTCAACTTTGAAGAGATGCTTGTTGTGAGACGCCCAAAAATTTGCTCTTTTTCGGTTGCATAATTTTCTGTTTACTTTCTGCATTTTTTCCGCTTGTTTGGTTGGAGCCAAAGGCGAAAATTTGCCAGCACCCATTTAAGTATACCTTACACCATAATGTGATATATCAATAATAGAGATATATGTATATACAAACTTATATATATATCGGTGACAATTACTCCAATAGTAAACATATAAATTATGTAAAGGTACACAATAGGAAATATTCGTTTGTATGTGTATCCAACGTAGAAAACAAAGGCAAATTGTTGCCGAAATCATAGCAAACACGCCTAAATAAATAGACGAGCAGCCGGAAATGGCGGAAGTAACAACATAATTTTGTGGCGTTGTTTGCGTAGAGAAATCGTAAAACTGACATGACACAAGGTTTATGCATTCAAAGGGAGTGCAGAGCGGTGCAGAGGCCATAGAGACAATAGAGACAGTGGTTGTGTGACAATTTGTAGCAAAATTAATTCATTTATGGAGCATTACACTGGGCGAAATAGGGTGCTTAAATTTACTAAATGAAAAGATCTTAAAGCTTGCACTGTTTTGTTGGAAACTATTAAAAATAAGCAAATAAAAGCAAATTCTAGCTAAAGTGCGAGCTTTAATAAGACTACTTTTTTTTCATAGTTTAAAATAATATAAATGCCTTCCTTAAGAGGTTGGATACAGGATTGTGAAAAACTCAATTTGCTTGAAATGCTTCAAGTACACTTTAGAGCCCTTACAAATATTTTTCAATTTGAAAAATAGTGAAAAAAGGTTTCCCTGTTCAATTCGCTTAGGTGTCGAAGTGTTAGGTTCCGTTTCCTCGAAAACGATTTTTCAAAATTTGGACTATAAGTTCACATTATAATTATCTATTATACTAAGTAGGATTTTTATCTATTGTTGAATGTTTTTTTAAAGCAATTTACTGTTCACTTTTTCGATAAAAAGTTTAAATTTTTTCACAAGTTCACTATTTTGCTAAAAGTTTATGCGATTTTACTTTATAATTTATACTTTAATATTTTTACTTTAATATTTTTATTTTGTTTCAGTTAGTACGAGTTCCTTGAATCACCGTAGCCTATAGAGGCTCGCTTGAAAAAGCTGATTCCGAGGATAGTTCCAATAGCCGCCATGTTATTATAAAAACTCAATATATTTATTTTTTATAAAATTAAAAATGTAATTAATTAATCTTGATAGAGCCAAATTCGTTTCGTTTTCTTAATCTCAGAATAAATTTTCGAAATTAGGCCATTGTCGTGGGCTCTGTACTGGTCTAGTCCCCTAATTTCAAATCTAGTGTATAAATAAAATAAATATATTTTTATTATAAGCTTTTTAAAGACGTATATCCAACATTTTTTTCATCTGCATCCGCATTACAGCGCTCTATATTTACATTAGGGTGTTTTTTTGAACTATTTATTTTCGGTCCCATCGTAACATTTTGTTGGAAATACCTTAAAAAAAACAAGTCCCTGCAACTTTGAGCTCCTAATAATAATTTTAAGTACTAGATCAGCGCGTGTAAATATTTCCCGCTGAAAATACACGAAAACTCTAATTTTTTATTTTTAAATCTCTACAGCTTAGCGGCATTACAAGGCATCACTTTGACCAAAGTCGGATTTTTTTCAGAATTGTAAGCTCTACAAAAGTGCTCACTGTGGCCAAGTTGTAACTCTTACGGGCGAGGAAGTACGGGCCACTAAATCTGATTTTTTCATAAAATGTTTTGCATTTATTTCTTAAATAACAATAGTTATGGAAAAAATTTAATTAAAAAAAATCTCTAGAGCTAAAACGCTAACTCCAATACTGCTGGAGATATTTCGATTTAAGGTTTGTGAAGTTTTAAAATATTTGCAAAAATTTCGTAAAATTGTATAAAATATCGTAAGTTAGAACTTGGCACTTTTTTAGAGGCTTCGACACAAATTTTCCCTTCTCGAAGAATATATTTGCGAAAAGCTGTTATTTTATCTGGTGACCTAAATGCAGATTCTAAGTTTATTTATTTTACTATAAAAAATTAGTTCAAATATGATTGCATGGATCTAGTATAGAAATAAATTTGTTCTAATAATTCCAAAAACAGCTAACTAGACTAAACCAAAACTCAAAAAACAAATCAACATAGTCAGTACACGTGCTTAAGTATTTTTGCTCATAACTCATCAATGCAAACAGTGAACAACAACAACAACAACGACCGCTCGAATTTTCCGCTCTGTGTACCATTGATATTATTGTTGGCGAAAATTTGTCAACGCTCCCGTCTAAACAACTAAACAAACAAGCCCAAAAATGAAATGAAAACAAGCAAACCGAACAACACGTCTGCAGCAACTCAATGCTCAGAGCCCCTCACACGCATATAAAAACATATGTATGTACGCACGCAAATGGACCGAGAGGGTTGGTTGGCTGTCACATAAAAGAAGGCAGAAAAATATGTCATCATACAAATAAAATGCAAAAACTGGAAAAAAATTGATTTCAAGCCGCTATTACCGATTACCGATGCTAGCGCAGATTTTCCTTTGCTGTCAGTCAATTTGTAGCTTTCGGCTACCGAATACCAAAAAAGGCAGCGGCATAAATCGCATTTACCCCGCAAACAAGCCGACAGCCACACTGTTGTATGCGTGTATGTGTGTGTGCAAGCAGTGTTTGCACAGCAGGATATGCAGCGACATTTAGCTGCTGTTGCACCACAACTAGTCAGCAGACGGCTGAAGGGCGGCGAGTGAAGAGTTGAAGTTGAATTGCAAAATGCGTCACAATTCCGATTCCGTATAGATATATATATGTACCTATGTATGTGTATATGTATATGTATGGTATATATGTAATGCATGTATCTACAGTTAACCGCCTGAAGGCAGCAAGCATTTGCTAGCACAAAGATGTGCGTAAGTTTCCCGGTCTGGCTTGTTTACCCAATGGATTTTCCGGATTTTTGACATTAACGTAATTGTCGGAAATTATTTGCTCTTCGGTACGCATAAGGCAAAATGCTTTACAAATGAATAATTACCATGCACGCCTTTGAATTACGCAAATATATAGCGCTATAAATACGCATAAAGTCGTTAGATTATGACATTAACTGCTTGCCGGCTGACGTTGTCTGCTTTTAGGCGCATACCAGTGTTAAGTCGTATAACACCCGCTAAAAGCTAATATGTAGTTAGACATTAATGACACATATGTTTTTATGCTTCAAATCTTTGAGATTGTATGCACTACTTGTCGGCAGTATTTGCTTTCACATGCTTACGTGTGTGCATAAATATATTTGCTGGTATAGTTGCTTTTGTTGGTTTGTCAGCGCTATAATTAAATGACTTTTACGCTTAACTTACTCTAAGCTTACATTTAAGTAAATAAATATACATTTATTTATATATATATATATGTAAGCATATGTGTTTGCTTACCTGTACTCTGGATTCGGGTAGATTGATCTTCAGCGCCACTTCCTCACGCATAAATATGTCCGGATAGCGTGTTTTACCAAATAGCGCCTCCAATACGTCCAATTGGGCGCGTGTAAAAGTGGTTCTTTCGCGTCGCTGCTTTCTTGTGTTCACACCTGTGGACGAGTACGATTAATAATCCTGCTCAAGTGCAAACAATTTGCCTAAAGTTGCGTTGAAATGTGTCAAGGAATGCAGTTACATACATATATTTTGCTACCTCTTTTTGTGTAACCAATATTTGGTTGAAAATCTTGGTATAACATTTAATATAAAAAGAACTCAAGTTGAAAAAAAAATTTATAAAAATCAAGCTGCATTTAGAGTAGAAAAATACTCTTTTTTTTACGCTTAATTTAATGCTGCCTGGGTGGAGCTCAATTTTCAACAAGTTTTGAGGTTCTGAAAATTAGTTTCATAAATATAATTCACTCAATTAAGAAAATTAGTAGCCCATTGTATGACTTTAAATTGCTGTACCTATTTGTTTTTCGGGTAACAAAAGTAAATTTAACAACAAGAAAATTTTTTGTTTGCAAAAGTAAACCAAAACTAAGACAAAATTAAGCAACCTTCAGAAGAAAAAATTATGATTAAAGGCAGCGGAAAATTTAGTTAATGAAATTTAGTCACAGATAATAGATGAACAGAATATTCACAAAAATAAATAATTGCAAAAGTCAGAAATGATAGAGATTAGCTTTCTATTTAGACATATAAATTATGTGTATGTATAATATATATAATTCAAGGTACTTGTATGTAAAGTAAAACAAAAAACGAAAAAAGAACAAAAATAAAGTCGAATTAAAACAAGAAAAAAAATATGAAAAAAGCTACCTTCGGCTGTAACGAAGCTTTTATAGCCTTCACAAGTGCATTTCTTTATTAATTTTACTTAATAAGAAGAAATAATCGGTCCGTTTGTATGAAAACTATATGCTATAGTAGTTATATCTGAACAATATATATTATCTGGTGATTTAAGCATTGCTTTGGATAATAATCTATAATCTATGCAAATTTTCTTGATGATATCTTGTCAAATAAAAAAAATTGTCATACAAGAACTTGGTTTTGATCGGTCAGTTTGTATGACAGCTACATATATGCTATAGTGGTTCGATAACGCCGGTTTCGACAAATGAGCAGCTTCAAGGGGAGAAAAGTACGTATGCAAAATTTTAGATCGATATTTAAGAAACTGGGGCATTAGATCGCGTATATACAGGCTGATAGATGATGGAGAGAGCTGATCATTTATATATATATTTTATAAAGTCTCAACATTTCCTTCTGGATGGACATTTCCTTCTGTTAGAAATCAATCGTGGCAAACTTTAGGGTTATAAAAAAGTTCATCATAAACATTTATATACATTATAAGATTTATATATGCATATGTACGTGACTTTCCAAATCGAAATAGGCACATAAGGCGACACTCACATAAAATATATCTGTATATGCCTTTGTAACTTTTTATATAAGTCTCATGTATATACTATATACATTCATATATACTAGCATTAGAAAGCTGCCTCTTCCATTTGCAACCCTCAATTGCCAGTGAAAGTATAATGCTGCAACCCTTATTAACGCGACATTAGAAAATTCACTCTTTGCATCTCTGTATATAAGTATGCTTATGAAATTCTCAATTGGGTTGCCCTCTAACACGCAAGCACGCACATCGCTCGGGTGGTGGGCACACGAGCACCGCCGAAACAAGCTAAATGGTTGGCTGAGTGGTTCGTTGGCTAAAGCAGTCGCGCTATTGTTATATACTGCATTATTTATGTATATGTATGTATATATATGTGAGTGTGGCTGTCTATGTTGCGCCCAATCTCTATTGTGCAGTTACAACGTATGTATGTATGTCCTAAGCCGTTCGCCTATTGTTCGCCAACATTAAAGATAAGTTTGTATGAATGCTTTCTTGCATTTGTGTGCGTGTCCTTTTGTGTCCTTTGCTCTGGCTGGCTGTTGTTTGTGCGCTTACTTTCTGAGGGAAATATGCGTTACATATTTAATACTTAGTTATACGACATTTTTTGTTCGTATAACTTTTTTAGTTATTTTTTTTTTAATTTTTTATTTGCGACTGCACACCCTTTTCGGCCGTTTACCTTCACAGCTGGTTTAATTTCAAATTAATTTTTTTTATAAATTTTTTATAGTTTGATTGCGCTATGTTAGTGTCTATGTTACAGCAACAAAGAAAAACAAAATTAACAAATGTTATTGCTGGCGGGAGAGGGTGCGCTCTTTTCAAATTCGTAATGGAGGATCCAGCGCTATAATACAGTTAATGTGAAAGTCATTGCTTTTATATGTGGTGGCATATAGCCATACATGTGTATGTATGTATGTATATGCATACATATATGCCGTAAGATCACTCCGTATAATCCCGATTGTTAGATGTTGAATTTATTAATTCAATTGCAGTTGCAGTTGCAGCTGCCGCGAAAAATGGCCGTCGCTTAAAGGGTGGTTATGCAAGGCAGCAATAGTCATTTAAGATAACTTATAGGGCCTTAATTAAGTAGGCCGTGAAAAGTAGTACATATGTATGTGATAGTATGCGCTTTTGAGAAAATGATTTAGAAATTGACTTTTTTTAGCATATGGAGTCAGTATTAAATATATTGTTATGGAAACTTCTGTCTCTTTGTATATGTATGTATATGCAAACTAGTACTCCAGTTTTTGAGATGTCGATATGAAATTTTGCACAAATTTTTTTCTTCCAGAGAAGCTGCTAATATCTCGATTTCGCCGATATCGGATCACTATACCATATACCTGACATACAAACTTAACGATAAAAATGAAGTTATTGTATGGAAAACTGTTTTAATTGACGAGATATCTTCACGAAATTTGACATGAATTATTTTGAATAGCAGCGCTACAATCTCCGAACATATTGTTCTGATAGGACTACTACAGCATATAACTGCTATACAAACTGAACGATCAAAATCAAGAAAAATATATTTTTATACCCCTTTATGCCATAAAAAATTCACCTGTGAAGCGTATTCTAACTTTGATCGGCTGCATCGTTCATCGTATATTCCGTTTTTAATACATATGATTTTTGCCTAAATGTTGAGATATTTTCTACAGCTTTCAATACCTTAACGCAAAATGTGTGAATATTAAGTTCGTTTTTTTAGTGCTGATAAATTATAACAGTATGCAAATTAGAAAGAGTATTAATTTATACTGTCTATAACTAACTGTTCAGAAAACAGTTGCTATTTCTTCGATGTTGTTTCAAACATTTTCTTTAACACCAATATCACTAATTTTGAACCTGTCTTTAAAAAATTGAATATCCATTTACTATCCTCATACTGTTGTATATTTACATATTTATTGCTCACGTGTTGCTTAACCACCAAACATTTATCAATTTATATTCAATGAAAGCTAAACCTTTTTAATATATACATATATATATCTTTTTCTGTAAGTCTTCTCCACTTTACTCAGCAATTTGTCGTACATTATCTTGAGCGTTCAAAAAGTTTTTCTCTTATCATTATTAGTCGTCTGCTGCACTCTTTCGTTGTAATACATTTATTGCTTGCTTCATATACATATATTCTAGACACGTATGAGTGCATATAAGATGCTAACTTCTAAAACCGTTAAAGTCAATAATTAAGAGTTTGGTGATATTTTAGCAGTAAATAGCACATTTCTTAAACTTTTAAAGCGGTTAAACACATTATTTAAAGCATTTTCTCTAATTCTTTAGCTCTCCATTCAAAAATTAGCAAGCCATACTTTAAAAGCTCTTTGTAAAATTGACACCTTCTATCCGTTGATTTCAAGTCATTTTCATATACAACTAGCAAGCAATTTAATTCCTGTATTTTTACGAAAAACAAATATTTTGCAATTTAAAAAAATATTGTTTTTTAAATTTTAAAAATATTGCACGATATTTTTTTGAAATTGCACAATATTAATAAAAAACAATATTTTTTTTAAATTTTAATTAAAACTAAGACAAAGTATTTTTGTGAAAAAAAATATTGTGCAATTCCAAAAAAATAAATTGTGCAATATTTTAAAAATTTGTCATAAATATGTTTTTTCTTAAAAAAAATATTTGCAATTCCAAAAAAAATATTGTGCAGTATTTTTAAAATTTGTCATAAATATGTTCTTTCTTAAAAAAAAAACTAAAAACCGACTTATGCCCCTTTCAAAATAAACCACCACTCAAATGTACATATAAGAGTATGTATGCATAGGTGTATGCACTCGTAGGCTTGGTTAGTTACCACAGATTGCTGCTGCTCATTATTCATTTTGACAATATTATTGATAATGATGTCGATGGGTGAATGGCGTGAGTAAAATATTGAAAACATTTATTGTTGCGTTCACTATTTGTTTCTTTTTTACTTTCTACTACTTTGTTTTGGTTGGTTTGCCACAATGATATGCAGGATGTGATGACAAAATATGAAACAACGTAGGCACATACACACATAGGTCTGTACAGACATACAATGTATAAGCAAGCAACATTTATATTTATAATTTTGACATCATTTTCAGCCGCTTACTACACCAGTCAGCAGCGGCACTCTTCTGCTTTAACGGCCATGCGGCGTTCAAGCGGCATGTTGGTGTTGCTTTCCAGTTGAAATCACCTTGTCATTTTTATTTAAATTAAGTTATCAGTGGCATATCAGTAGCACAAAATTCACTCAGTTTGCCAACAACTACATGCACGCTTCAACTAGAGGGCTTTGACTGCAGCTGGCAACTGGCAAACTTCGGCTCATTTGTCATTGCTTGCAAGCTGGCGAACATGCACACATGTGAGTACACATATAAGGGCGAGGGCAAGCGCAACCCATTCATTGAGGCATTCTGGTACGCGTCTCAATTTCATTGCGAATCAGTTTCACTACACTTGACTTGCTCGCTAAACGGATGTGCGATTGCCAGTCAACGTGGACGACCAACTGTCTGCCTGTTATGTCTTGTTGTTGTTGTTGTTTTTGTTACATAAATTTTCTTATATATCGCACAGTCTCTACTAAAATTCTCAGTAGTATCTGCCATTGCATATTATTATTTTAATTTTATTTTATTTTTATCGCTTCTTCTGAGACTCACGCTTCCACAGAAATGCATTACAATGCGGCGAGCATGATTTTTAAGTTTTCGTTTTCTTTCACTGCAATGCAACTCAATAAAATTCTGTAGTAGGGTGAGGTTTGTTCTTGTTGTCATTATTAACGTTATTGCTTTCGTTTTTTTTTTTTGTTTTTTTTTGGTATTGCTTTTGGTTTGTGAATATTTCTTTCAATTTGTTGTTGCTTAGATGTGGCTATAGTCGTGATTGTTTTGGTATCTGCTGTATCTTTCTCATTGTCAAATCAGTTTTGTAACAATATTTGTGTTAATGTGTCGCTCTTTCAATAGAATTCCTCGGTTACGGTTTATTGTAGCGGTGTTTTGTAAATTCGTTTCGTGTCAAATGCAGCCAATTTGTTTATAATTTTACGGGTTAATGCACCTGATCGTCAATATATCTAAATTATTTTATCTCGCCTCAATGATATGCATTTCTCATTGATTTTAGAAAGTGCGAGAGAGGGAAAGAGTGATGTGTGTGTTGCCCCGCAAAGTACTTGAATAGTTGTAGGTAGAATGTCTACATTTTTTGAAATATTTGTCGAAATTATGACTTATTGTTTGTTTTGAAATCAAATAGACTGTTATCAAAACATTTATTAAGAGAGTTTTGTGTCAGTTGCATAAAAAAAAACAAGAAAACACGTTAACCTCGGCTTCACGGATGCTATAATACCCTTCACGGCTGCATTTTTATAGCATAAAAGTGTATACAAAAATATCTTTCTTGATTTTCATCGACCAGTTTGTATGACAGCTATATGCTATAGTGGTCCGATCCAAACAATACATTGGAAAATGGTAGCCTTGCTTTGGACAATAATCCGTGCCGAATTTCGTCAAGATAGCTCGTCAAATAAAAACGTGTTCCATACAAGGAATTGATTTTTAATGATCAGTTTGTATGACAGCAGTCCCATCTGAACAATATTTAAGTTTCAAGATATAGTTACCACAAATATGTGTATTGTACATGTATGCAACAAATTCTACAAGTACTTGCAACAAATAATTTTAAGCATTCCTTTTCGTGTGCAAAGTGTTCTAAATATTATTATAAAATTTAACTTAATTTTTTTGTAGTAGTAATAATTTGCATAATTTATTTTTAAATTAAAATTTTTTTTTCTATTTTTTTTTGTAACTTTAAGTTAAGAAAAATAATTTTTATGATTTTTATTTTTAAAAAACAATTTTTTGTTATAATTTTTTAATTCAATATTTTCCTACAATAATATCTTTCGAATATTTTTGTTTAGTAAACTTCAAAATAAACTATTTTTTATTATCTTTTGGTAATTTAAATTCAATATTTTTTTACAATAATATTTTTCGAACACTTTGTGCAGCACTACACATTTCAAATCGCTTATTATTATTATTTTTTTTTTTTTTTGTAAATCAAGCTAATTTTTTCTACCAAAATCGGTTCGATATTTACCCCACATACCTTGGGAGAACCCAACAGCTTCTAAACCGTGAGGTAATCCGAAGGGTCCTAGCGACGGCATCGGCATTCCTGGTGGCAGCGGCCCGTGCGGCACCGAATGATGTGGATGCGGGCCGCCATAGCTGTGCGGATGATGGCCCAAATCGCCGGATTTTAGAAAACCCGCAGCCATTAAGGCTTCTGTCGAGTGCAGCGCCACTGTGATAACTGTGCGGTTAACGGTCGGGAATCTATAGAGTGGAAGAGTAAGTGTGTTAAATATATTGCTATTAAGCGGAAGAGGTAGTGTGAAAAAAATATGATTAATTAAAATAACTAAACAATATAAATAAATAAATAAAAATTACAAATTATAAATTAAAATATGTAAATAAATTGAATAAATAAAAAAGTGAATAATATCCAGAATTTAATGCACCCACACTAATTACGAATACACACGCCAATTGTCTAGCGCGCTTGGCATTGGCCACCGACAAATAGTAACATACGACGAATTGCAACAATCGCCAAACAATGCGGCACCCGTCGGGAATTGCATGAACGAATAAATGCCAAGTATTTTGCGCACGAATTCTCTATACAAGAGACAGCGACACGAGGGGTGGTCGCTCGCCACGAATGCTTGCATTTACTAACACTGTATTCACATAGCTATGTGTGCATGCATATGTGTGCGTACGTGTGTTTCGCTATATTGCAAGCAATTGGTATATGCATTAATTGCTGTTGTTGTTGTTTAAGGGTATTCATAAATTTAAATTTGAGACAGATGTGTTATTAATTTACGTGTGCGCGTGAGCATGTAATTTGGGGTCGAGTATATGGTTACCTCTAATGGCCAACGTTCACGGCTGATAATGGTTAATGATGATGAAGATGGTGATGAGGCTGCTGACTGACTGATTTCGGGTGACGAAAGTTGTTCGAGTGCAATTTCGACTGCAGTGTAAGTATACGCATACATACATATATACATATGTATGAACGTGTAACCGATGCATTTGAATGCAATGAAACGTGAAAACGATCTGACAAAACAAAGCGCAAATTTCATCGGAAAAATAAGGAAAATATGAAATGAGAAAAACCTACATACATGTATACTATGTGTGTAGTATATGTAGGGAATTGCTTTGGCTTATAGCTGCTGCTAGAGGCGGACCTATTGAGGGTACGAAACATGTTAAAAGCAAGGCATGCGGTAGACCAAATCAGAGCAAAGGATCAACCAACTGACAGCCATACCAAACAATGGGCGAAAGGATAAACGCACGGACGGACGGTCGGAGACTGCATTTTGTGTCAAATGGTGAACGCATATGCGAAACGAAGGTGTGGATATGTGAAGTGCAATTGTTCGCAGTTCTCCATACACATTATATGAAGTTATTTTTTTGCATACCTGATGGAAATAAAATTTCCCATAAACAAGCATTTATACATATGTATATGGAACTGCGAAAAGCATAGATATTTGTTTGTGCACGAGCGTAGGACATAAGTAATTTGCACGAACGTCCTAAGCCGGCAATTGTGTGTGGCACAGAGGAACGTATTTTAAGTTAATGGAAAATCGCAAAGCCGTGCTGCAGACAATGTATGCGGGAAAGGATGCCAGGACATTCGGTGCTTCAATATATACATATGTATGCATGTGTATACTCCATTGCTATTTTAAAATATGCGAATTTGTATTTAAGTAGCATGCTGCATGTGCAAAATTTTTCTGTTATTGTGCACATTGCAATTTACAGGTACAAACAGACTTGAAAATTAATCCAGGTCGCAAGATTATGTAGGACGATTATTGTTACTACATATTTACTATATATGTATGTATGTATACATAAATGCCTATTGTATGCGCTATTTGTCTAGTGTGAGTAAAATGCCTAATCTATTTGGTTGATTTTTGAATGCAAACAAAGGAAAGAAATTATGATGAGCGTAAGATCAAAAAGGCCACCGCAAATGAGGCGACAAAGTGTTGATGAAAATTTCAAGATGCTCTTGCGGCGCAAATGCATGCTGCTATTGTTTAAAGAAAGAACCGAAAACAATTGAAAATCAAAGGGCAAAAAAGTAACAAAAAAAAATTTTTATTATAAAATATTAGTGAAATTAGTTATGGCAAACAAAAATATTTCAATATTATATGAAAAAAATGTATGCTATAATCATTAAGGTGGCTCATTTTATATATAATAAATATATGCTTAACCGAATAATATTAAAAAATATTAATCAAAATTACTTGCGACAGAAGCTGTATTAATGAAAAAAATTAAAAACGGTATTAAAAACATTAAGGTGCACAATTTTATCACAATAGATATATGAATAACCGAACTTAGCTCGATTTCGGAAGTTTTCTGCTATAAAAACAGCCAAATTTTAAAGAATATGTTATCAAAATTAAAAAGCAGAAACCACAAAATTAAAAAACTCATATGTTCTAGTACTTATATGCAATGTCCTATTCTACACTGGCAGCAAAAACTATACTCTTATATACATGTATAAGTATATATAATATATGTACCTCCACATATCACATTACATAAGTCGAAGCATGACAACAACCACAAATTACCGCGATTTCTTTTTTTTTTCTCTCTACCACAATGATACAGATCATTAGTGTCCTATAAGTACATACTATTGTATATACATAAAAATACATGTATGGAAAAGTGAACATTTGTGCACAATAGTGCATGTACGTGACTTTTCTGGAAATTGGCGGAAAAATCATATATTGTACATACGTATATATATGTATGTATATGTGTATGTATGTAATTTGATAAAAAACAACTGCCACCATTTTGAGCTAAGTTTGTTGCGCCTCACAAGCCAACCCAACAGCCAAACATCAATGACAGCAATCAAAGGCATAAAATATTGTATATACCTACATCTCTATATAGAGACGCAGATATAACTAATCACCGTACGTATTACATTTGTCTTTTTTTCGAGCAAAAAATTTTAATAAAAAGAGAAATGCCTTTCGGTAATTTTTATTTTTGTCTTTTTGTTTGCGTCTAAATCGTTTTACTGCAACTATATCACGTACGCATGCGCATTACATTATGTTGTAAGCGAAAAACGCAAAAAAAAACAACAAAAAATAAATTGTGTATATGCTTGTGTGCAAGTTTTCACTTTCAGTTTCCGGCAGCGTGCAGCAATCAAAAACTGCCAAGTAAATCGTGAAGAGACAACTCGGGAAAAAAGTAGAGAAAAATCAACACGGCACATGACGCCCATTGTTGTTGGCTTCTACAAATAAACCATAACGAGTTGTTAAAATGTAGGTGTTCACTTATGCTTGCTTCTATTTGCGGCAGGCACTGTAATTGTATTATGCGGCAAACGGAAAATAAATTTAGAAAATATATTATTTTTTTATTTATATAACAAAAAATAACAGCCAAGACATGACATTTGCTGCCATCAAATGATTAAAAGCATGCATATTATTTTTTTTAACGGAACTATTTACGCAAACTATGCAATAAATCGCCAAATCATATGGAATCTTTAAGTTGCACACGCCACTTGCGGGCCATAAGCAACTAAGTATACCACCATAGGGTCTAACATCCGCACATTTTTACCAAATCATTTGTCTCACACACTCATACGCTCCCACACACACGCCTATTGACTTGAATATTTTCCGTAATTACGGTCAAAATAATATTTTGTATTTATTTACGGTAGCAATAGCGTTATTGGTAAATATTATAATAATATCAACAAAAATGCCCAAAGAAAATATAAACAGAGCAAAAGAGCAGTCGCGACAGTCAATCAGTTCGTCAACGATGCTCCAAGCAAGAAGATACTTGCATACATATTTACACTGGCTTCAATGTGTGTGCGAACTAATGGTCAGCGCTGTGCTGTATGTGCCATCTGGAGCAATGCTCCCAGCGATGCGTCGCCGCCGGTTGAGTATGTCAAACGCGTTAATGTTTTGAGTGGCTCGCGAGTTGGCGTCTAAGAAAAATACTAACAAACACGCCTGGGAAATATGTGCGCGTCCAAGCAGTTGAGTCAGCGCAAATGAACAGCAAGCGTGTACACGAAGCAATATGGGAAGACGCTATATGCTTGCTGTATTTTTAGACATCATTAAGCACAACGAGTTGTTTGTTGTTGGTCACAGTTGCTGTCATTAGAGCAGCATCATTAAAATGCAAAGAGCAATAGAAATTAATGTATAATATGTAAGTTGCTGTGCAAATGAACTAAGTTAGTTATATTGATTGAGTGATTGAATTCTTCAAACATATAGCAAAATAATTAATTAATATAAATGTCGTTTAGTTAAAATTTATTTTATGAGGTTATGAGAAAATATTGGCATGAAACCCTAGGGCATTAAATAGACCAGAAATATTAAAAGTGCTTAAAAATATTTGTTAAATCAGCACTATTTAAAGTTAATTAATTAAAACTAATGTTGAGTTTTTATTAAGATTAAAAACAAAAAATAAATAATAAAAAAATGTATATATAAATATCTAATAATAATAAAATAAAATATTTATTTACTCGAAGCTAGGAACATAACTAGTGTGAAACTTTGAAAATTATATATTTTTTTTACTCATTTCGATTTATACCTGTGAAAGTACCATACTAAAATTTTATATGAATATTTCAAATACTTTTGGAGTTACAGGTTTCTAAAGTGTAGCCGCTGGGTTTAGGCAACTTCATCAGTTTATCTTTAAACAAGTTTTTTTTTCAAATTATATTTTTCAAACTTGCTTGAGAGATTACTCTTAGACAAATGATCCGAGTACTATTAAATTTTGTTGGCTTGTTCTGTATATACAATAGTGCACCATACAATGACCTACCAATTTTTTATCTGATCGCATGCCAAAAACTAACAACATTTTGCGTAAAATAAATTTTATTTTTTAATTTTTTTTTTTTAATTTTTTTTTTAATTTTTTATTTTTATTATATTTTTTATTTTAGAGCATTATACGGATACTAGTTTCTAGCGAGAATCCACGGTGAATGCCGGAAATAAATGTAAAATAACTTTTAAAAAATCTCCAAAAAATCATATTTGATTATTTAAAAATCACATTATAAGATTTGTTGTAGTAACTCGTGCTTCAAAGCTAAAATTTTTTTAGTTTTAGTTGTTAAAAAAAAACAACAACAGCTAATGGTTTTCTATAACTTTTAACAAGTTAGA